TGGCTCGATGGCCACACTTCTGGTAACATGGGGGTGCGGCCTAATATGCTAATGAGCTGTGCTGTCGGGGGTGTGGCCTAATATGCTAATGAGTTTCTGCTGTTGGGTGTGGCCTATTATGCTAAAGAGTTCCTGCTGGTCTTTTTCTACAAAAAAAGCCCTGGGAAGAAGTATGTTTCCCCCGCTGAATCACGGTAAGTATTTGGTAAGCCTGCTAGTTCATTGCTACCTTGCCTGTCTCCACAATGGTAACCCAAGGTGGCTTACCTTGTTCTCCTCTCCTCCATTTTATCCTCAGAATGACCCAGTGAGGTGAGTTAAGCTCAGAGTATGTGACTGGCCCGAGTTCCTTGAGTGAGCTTCCCCAGCAGAAAAGGGAGCCAGACCTTGGGCCTCCCAGATCCCAGTCCCACACTCTAACCCACACGAATATGACAGAACAAAAGCTTAAATACAAAATCTAGAGCGTTTACATTGTAAAATGTTATTAAAATGCTTCTTTATTTTATTACAGCCCGCTTGGTGTAATGGTTGAAATATTAGACTATGACTGCTCTCTCTCCAATCCTGTTTACTTAAAACAGCAGTCAAGCACACATTATTTTGTTAAGGGATGATGAAAGCATGACTTACATGTGTCTCTTCCATTTAAGAACTTTCAGACAGGCTTCTCAAGTTTTTGCCTTTAATTTCCCTTTATTTTATTCCCCCAGTTCCCTCATCTTTTAACATGTAGCCTGACTATTCAGCCAGACGGTCCTTGGCCTGCACTGGCTCAAATATTCACTTGCTACAACGGAGAATGCAGGCAAAAAGGCTATTCTTGAGCATCTATCCCGCCTCCTGCTATTCCACTGCAATGGCTGTATGGGCCCTGGTTTAATGCGTGTTTCTGTTTTCAGATTCAGAACAGGACATGGACAAAGCAAAGTGCATTCTCTTCACAGTCTTCATTGCCATAGTCGTGTTTTGCCATTCTGGTAGGTGTCTTAAGGTACTGCGTGTAAATTCAGTTGCTGAATCTCCTGCCCCTTACAGATGCTAATTTTTTTCCAGTTAGGTTTGAGTCCATTAGCACTTTAGAGACCTAAAAGATCTTCCGGGTAAAAACTTTTGAGAGTCACAGAGCCCTTCTGCTTATACCCGAAAATCTTGTTGGTTTCTAAGGTGCTACTGGACTCAAATCTTGCTCTTCTACCACAGACCAAAACAGTTATCCTCTGAAACTAATTTCTTCTACTAGCCCATTTTATCCTGCATTAGGCTTATTGTGTATTCGGCTTTACTCCTGTTGATCAGTAATGTTTCACTTTCTGCATGAATGGCTTTAGGGTTGCCAGGTCCTTACTGCATTCCAGCCAGGGCCAGCTCTTCCACTAGGTCAACTAGTGCGATGGCCTAGGGCGCAGATCTCTGAGGGGCGCAGCGAGGCCGCTGCCACCATCGCCATTCTGCCACCCCCGCCTGCCCGCCCCAGCCAAATGTTCCAAATAAAATGTTCTTTAGGTTAAAAGCTTTTTTACCTAAGGAACATTTTATTTGGAATATTTGGCTGTACAACCTCAGAAGAATATACAGTTGACCAGAGAGAAGTACCACTGGACATGTGATTTCACTGGAGGCTTCATTTGTATTTTTATATTTCTTTTCCTTGCCCAGTGGTTAAACTTTGGAACAATTGATTTCTGGTCTTTACTCCATATTTTGTATATGTAGGATTGTATGTATTTTTGCACATCAGCCAATATGTTCTGTATGTATTAGACCTCTGAGGAAGGACTGTAAAGGCCGAAACGCGTTAGGTCTATCTTATTAGGTCTATCTTATTAGCCCTTGTATGTTTTTATAGTTTTATATGAGGTATGAATGGGCCCTTGTTTGTTATTTTAATTTATGTTGAATAAACACACATATATATTTTTGTATATTTTATAATTAGATTTTTAGAGTTGGCCCTTTTCTATTCCTGACTAACCTTTTTAGGTTCTGAATTCTAGGTTTAGGTTCAGTTTTTCCCCCCTTTTTTCTTCTTTGTCCTCAGAATTAGACAGACCCAGTTAATTATTTTCACCAGCAGAAGGCATTCCTTCTGTTTTTGTATTATCCTTGAATCTGTTAAACATCTTCATTATGCTGTATGCAAATTTACTACTCCCCCTCTATGTATGGACTGGTAATTTCCATTTCATTGTATCTGAGGAAGTGTGCGTGCACACGAAAGCTTACACCTTGAATAAAACTTTGTTGGTCTTAAAGATGCCGCTGGACTCAGACTTTGTTCTTTATTCTCACCTGTTAAGTTAAAATGTTCAAGGGCAGGATGAAGAAAGGGGGAAAGGCGAGAGATCCGTTGAATTATTCTACTGTTCTCTAATGGTAGAATAACCAGTGGTTCTTTGACAGATGGATGTTTTTAAAAAGAAAAATACTTATGAATTTTAAACATAATCTTGAAGTGCCCTAAAAAGATTGCAGTGAGTTTACACTCTTATTTTAGGAGTTGATCAATGCCCCCCACGGCACAGTGAATTGGCTGCCATTCCCTCTTGCCCTAATTTTATGCTTGGGTTTTGGAGAGGGGCTGTAATATGAGATCATCCCCTCAAAGCAGGCACAAACTCGAGATCCGATATGATATATAGTGGTTACAGCATCAGGCTGAGATCTGGGCGATCCAGGTTCAAATCCCCACTCTGCCGTGAAAGCTCGCTGGGTGACCTTGGGCCAGTCACACACCCTCAGCCTAACCCTAAGGATAGAGGACAGGATCAGAGGTCATTTCGGGGGGAAATGCGGAGGATCACAGTTCCCCCGGGTGAGGTACGGGGGGCGGGGCACATGACGAAGCCCCGCCCCCTGCTTCCGGCCACCCCGCTTCCAGCCCTCATTCAGCCAGGAGGAGGCAGGAGAAGAGGGAGGGTAAGTTGCTTCCTCCCCGCCTTTCCCCACCCCTGCCTGCCTGGGGCCAGGGAGGGCCTTCGCGGGGCTTCCTTGCACTCCCGCCGGCCTTGCAGGTCCACCGCCAGGCCCCTCATGGGGCTCGGCAGTGGAGCTGCAAGGCCGGCAGTGGCGGCCGGGACCGTTGGGGGCGGGGTGTGTGGCCTTATGACACACTTCCGGTGATGTCAGGGAGTGTGGCCTTATGACACACACCAGGTGATGTCAGGGGGTGTGGCATATGCTAATGAGTTATGCTAATGAGTTCCCCTAGCTTTTTTTCTACGAAACGACCCCTGGACAGGATGATGATATAAACTGCTTGGGATCACCATTGGGGAGAAAAGGAAGGTATGAATGACATAAATAAAATAAACTCACTCGGTGGCTTTGAGGAATCCCTTCTGTGACTGAGCCCTCCCCACCTTCAGCAAGAGGATCACCGAAGCATTTTTGAGAGACAGAGAGGGAGAGAATGAACGAATGAGAATATTTTGAACATGTAAGCATTTAACACAACCTCTCTTTAACTCTTAGGTGATGCAATCCGGTGTTACACCTGTGAACAAAGCCCTGTAGTGTGCAGGACCAATGTTACTTGTACCCACGAAGAAGACGTTTGCTTGCAAATCAGGTTTTGTATGTATACTATACAAAATGAGTACTTATTTATATTTATACCCTTGTGCCCTGACCCAGATATCCCAGGCTAGCCGGATCTCGTCAGATCTAGGAAGCTAAACAGGATCGGGCCCTCCTTAGTATGTGGATGGGGGACCATCAAGGGATACTGGGGTCGTTATGCGGAGGCAGGCAATGGCAAACCACCTTTGAATGCCTCTTGCCTTGAAAACCCCACAGGGTCGTCAAAAGTCGGCTGTGACTTGGCGACAAAAGAAAAGAAAAGCCCTTGTGGCTTAAGGCCACAAAGTTTACAACTCTAAAAACACAACATTCTACAAAATCACATGAAGAGCAATAGTAAAGCAGTCTTGTTCAACTGATTCCATTGATATTAAAGTCTCTTTATGATATTGTAAATAAGATTGAACGGGTGATTAAAAAAAAAAAAGCCTCTGGTGGAAGAGTAAAACTCTGCAAAATGTATGTGCTTGTTAGTGTCCTGACTAGGAACACTCTCACTGGCCTGTTCAAACCTGGAAAAATTTGAATATGTTTTGGAGGCAGCTGCCAGTAGGGGGATGCTAACAATAACATGATACATGTCCTTGCATTTTAGATTTTGCACCATGATATGGGAATATCCATGCTGCTTACTTAACTTAGTGTTCCTTTGCTGCAGGGAACTGCCCTAGGAATCAGGTAAAGGGGAGGGGAGGATAGGTGACTCATTATCATGTCTGTGGTATTGGAAAGTGTCATTAAGTTGCAGCTGACCTGTGGTGACCCCCATAGGGTTTTCAAGGCAAGAATGAACAGAGGTGGTTTGCCACTGCCTGCCTCTGCAGAGCAATCCTAGACTTCCTTGATGGCCTCCCATCCAAATACTAATCAGTGCTGACCCTGCTTAGCTTCTGAGATCTGACAAGATCAGGCCAGTGTGGACTATCCAGACCAGGACAATTTGGCTGTAAGTTTGGGAACTCTCCTTCCATTTTAATGTCTAGAGAAAGCACAATTATTGTACAGTTGTTCAAAAGTGTTGTTTTCAGTTTTTAATTTGGGGTGTGTGGTTTTCTCTTTCAGTGCATCTGAGAACATACAGCTGCTGGAAGTCATCACGGTGCATCTGGAAAGAAGTTGCTGATGAATTTCACGCTGACAGTTTTAGATTCCTGTGCTGCTACAAGGATCTCTGCAACAAGAGCCCAAGCTTCCTGGCAGCCAGTGCAACTGCCTTCAGTATTACTGCAGTGACTGTGCTTTGGATGGTGTACCAGTAACACGGGGATGAAAATGTCACTTCACTCTGTACATCTTTTTTTATTTTTCCCCTTGTGCCTGGATATGTCTGCAACAGTAGCTGTTTGGAGAAGAGGCACGTGGTTTTAACCAGAAAAGAGAGTTGAGAGAAACCATCCTGTTTCTGTAACTTACAAGATAAGGTGGGAAGGACTTTTGACACTGTCCCTAATTCATCTATATTCTAAAGCCATAGTAACTGAATTATTGTGCTACTTGTAGAATTCTAGCCCGTGAACACAAACAGTCACACAACCAGTAGGTATTACTCAAACATTTACTCTGTGAGGTTTGATTCACTTACTTGTGTTCCTATTGGGAAGAAAGGAAGGGTATAAATGAAGTACATAAATGAATACATTCTGCATTCCCCCTTAAACCAACAAGTATTCCTTTTGAATAAGTGTACTTATAACCTAGTCAGTTTTGTCTTCTTTTTCATAATTATGATAGAGCTTGGTGTGAAAGCTTTGTTCATAAAGCGAGTCTATGTGACAGCAGTCAGAACAGTAAAAAGCATGATGTATTTTATTGACTACTAAGGCATTAGGGTTATTAACTAGACAGTAGGATTTCCAATATGGCAGTCTGTATGCTATAGAAGGTATATATGCTGGCCTACAGTTAAGATTTGGTGATTCCATAGACAGTCAAATAGACATTTTTTTGCAGCTTTTACTACATTTAAAGCTATCACTGCTATTGCAGCAATTTCACAGATATATTATACAAATATCCTTGCACCGAATATATAATTGCTCCTAATGGAGCAACCAGCTTTGCTTGCTTGCATTTGTACTCACAGAACAGAATGTATATTCATGGAGGGCAGTGTTTGGAGATCTTACAACCAGAATAATTTTTCAAGATCATGCTTATCTTAAACTGAAATTCACACTGGCCACATAAAGTGCTTTTCAGTTTCTCTCTTGCTATTTTTGTGAATGTATGAAAACAGAGGCAGTTCTCTTAAATGCACTGATAGCTATTGTTTGAATTGATTGCCAGTCATGCAGGAACGGGTGAATGTTCTTGTGAGCTCAACGTCATCTACATTACAGGAAATTTCCCTCCCTGGGATCAAGAACACTTGCTGCTTTCCAGAAGTTCCGCATCACAGGGAGAGAGCCAATCTGTGTTCATAAGCCAGAGCTATCGTGGGAGGGGTTGTGTGTACGCCTTCCCCCTCCCCCTCTAAACACTGGTTTGACCTCACGTAGTGTGTGATTGGGAGGCTACAGCCTCAAACCAAATTTCCTGTGCTTTTCCAGCACTTCACTGTAGACTGAAGACTTTTCTGCATGGGTTTTTTGGAAGGAGGGGTCAGTTCTGGACCTGTACTACTTTGGTTGATCCCCTGATTTCCACACACAATTTTGTGCCTTTAATTTTCAGGTTGTGTATTATTCCTCTCCCCACCCCAGTTCTTTTGAGACCACTTTTACCCTGATATTTTTCTGGAAGCCAATTTTGAGTCGGTTTTATTTATCCCACTCCCTCCCCCCCACCCACCTCCAGTCTACGTTTCAATGAATGGACTATCAGCATCGTCAAACCACTCCCTCTCCACCCCTCTGAAGACAGGTAGTTTCATTTTCAGTTTTAAAAAAGGCACCAAAACATTGATATCTATCAATATACCTTTGTAATGATAGGTCACGCAGGTTTTCTGAATTCCTAGCTTTCATTTTGAGGAAAAGTAAATCTCTATCCCTTTCCCTTGTGGAGGTATGCAGTGCCTAGATGGGTTTCACCTAGACAGAGCTGCCATCCAGGCCTTGTGTAAGGTGCTCAGGCAGCCCCCCAGGGCTAAGCTCCTGCTCCCCTTGCCATCCCCATCTTGCAGAAAATCCTGCTCTCCCTGAGGTTCCTAGCCACCAGGGGATTGTGCTTGACGCGTCACAGTCCTTGGCTAACTGCTGCTACACAGCTTTCTGGATGCCATGCTGGTGCACCTCCAGAAGCATTTGCGCTTCCCCACTGAGTAGGGCGACCTTGCATCCATCAGGGCAGGGTCTGCATCGTTCGGAGGCTTCCCCAATGTGGTGCTGAAGTGTAGTGGATTAGACGCATAAAGAAAGCATGGAGACTGATGTAGTGATCAGCATAGCTTTACTGGTACACAACAAGACTAAAGACTAACGGCCGGCGGGCCAACTATATACACAATCCAGGGGCACCCCCCGGGTCCCATTGGTGGGGTTAAATCTCCCGCCAAGGTCCCATTGGTTCCCCCAGTGGAGGGACTAGAATCCCAGTCCCCATTGTTGTACCGGGCTGAAGCTCAAGAGTGTGCGCTGACCTCCGGTGGGTGTCAGCGGACACAACAGGTGCAGACCATTGACTGCACCCACATAGCCCTCACTGCCCCCCCCCCCCAGGAGCTGCAGGTATACCATAATCACCACCACTTCTACAGCCTGAATGTTTAGGCCTCCTGTGACCACCAGGACATCTTTACAGACTATGTGGCCAAGTTCCCGGGCAGCATCCATGACACCCAGATCTTTGCTGCATCTGGCCTCAATCACCTGTTGGCTGCCTGGCCGAAGGGCAAAGGATGGCTCCTGGGTTAGTATGGTAGGTATGGCTGTGCAGGCATACAACAGAGGACACCACCCCTGAAGCCTCATGTGCTATTCCCCCCAGGTAACCGAGGGTATCCCCTGCTGCCATAGTTGCTGATGCTGCATCCCAAAGATGACCCACTGGACCACACAGTCTCCAACCAAGCCCACCAACAAATGCTTCATGGTCATTGGTGGGCTTTCAACCACTTGAAGATGCGATTCCAATGCCTCCACCACATGGGGCCACAGAGCTATGCAGCTTCTGGCAGTAGCAGTTTATGCCATGCTACATAACATCACCATATGACAGCATCTCCCACCTCCCCTTTGTGGGGCCAATGTGGAGGGGCTGGGGTATGGGACCCTGTGATGTCACCGGGGGCTTCTGCGAGGTCCTGACCTTAGGGGCCATCACAAACAGGAACATGTGCAGGCACACATCTGGCGGCAGAGGTATACCAATGGCTGCACTGGCCGTTGGGGGAGCCTCTCCTCCCCTCAGCCTGGGTGGGGAATGATGGCCCCGCTGATGGCTGGCCCATGACACCTAAACCCCATCGTGGTGTGTGGAGGTGCCACCAGCCCACATGAGGGCCCCCCACATGAGGGCCAGACCACCCCATCACATGCCCCCATCTGAGTGTCACTGGAACTGACAGGGTGGTCTGCTTGCCAGTAGGAATCGAACACAGCGCTGCCTCTGGGCACACCCAGCCACGTGCCTATAGCCCAGCTGCCAAAGCCATGGTGGCCTTTGGCATTCAGAGGGGTTGCCAAGGTTGCTGCCATGGGGGCCCCTGTGGCTGTGGCCAGGAAGTGGCCTGGCCCTATTGCCCAGTTGCTGCTGCTGTTTGTCATTCAAGCCCCTTATTTGCATATTCAAATATTCCCCGGGGTAGCTGGGATCTGGATGGCCTTAGTGAGGCTCTGTGGGGCTATGCCCTCTGAAACTGACCATATCTGCTCTGCAGCGCTTTTGGCTGTAAGTCAAACCTCACTGTGGTGGCGGAGCCTTTATGCTAACGGCCTTGTTCCAACAAGGGGTCTAGAATTCCTTGTTGGGCCAGGCCACCCAACTCCCCCAGGGCTGCTCCAAAAGTGACCACCCATGGCATTTCCCGCACAGAACCCCACCATCCCAGGACGCATCCCACCCCCAGGTGAGTTGGCCAATCATGCCTGTGAGCTTTGTGGCTGTGACTGGAGGAACAATAGCTTCTCCCATTGCCTTACCTTCCCGCCCATCTGTGTTTGTTTCTGTGGCTGCAGTCTTGCCAACATGAGGCTCCTGCCTGTTGTGCCCATGGGGTCCTTGTTGCTTCATTGTCACCCTCCTGCTGCTCCCTCCCGCATGGGTCCCCAGCACCTCAGATACCTTGTTTCCCCGAAAATAAGACCTACCCCCAAAATAAGCCCTAGCAGGATTTCTATGCATTTGTGGTATAAGCCCTAGTGTGTCTTCTTGAGAAAAAATAAATATAAGACAGTGTCTTATTTTCGGGGAAACACGGTAGGTGTTACATTCACTGAAACATCCTCTATACTTTTATAGAGATTATTCCACTGATTATCAGAGAAATGTATTAGCAGGTCTTTTCCCCATCTCTCTTTATATATGGTTATTTTTTTTGTTCTGCCTCTTCCAGTTTGCTGTAAATCATTGCTATTGGGCAACTCCATCTCTTTGGGTATAACAGGAAGGCCTCAAAAGTGTTAAAAGGTCTAAATATATTTATTTGATCATGCTTACTCTGTCGTAATGCCTGATTTGCAAATACTGCAAAACCACATCCTTATGCCTATGCTGATTTTTTAAAAAAAAACCACTTTGTTAAAGTAAATTCACATTAAGGATGATCTGGAAATTATTTGATTGCTCAGCACATGACAGATTATGTTACTTTAAAAAATTATAACGCAATAACATAAAACATCCTGTCAATGACTTGTTCATACAGCAAAGGACAGCACAGTGTAACAGTTAAAGGGTTGGACTAGAAGAAGAAGAACATGCCGTTGAGTCCCCATCCATGGGCATTCCAGGCAAGAGACAAGCAGACACGATTTGCTATTGCCTTCGTATGCGTAGCAACCCCAGTCTTCTTTGGTAGCCTCCCATCCAAGTACAAATTGTGGACAATGCTGCATCCTTATACCTATGCTGATTTTTTTAAAAAAACAAAAACCTTTTCACTGTATTCGTTTTGTTAAAGTAAATTCACATTAAGGATGATCTGGAAATTATTTGATTGCTCAGCACATGACAGATGATGGTACTTTAAAAAAATCACAACGCAATAAAATAAAACTGCTGCAAGTTAAGATGATTGTTTTGGATGTATGATGTATGATGTAACAATTAATAAGCAAGACTTATATAAAGGCAACAAAGAAAGAGAACTTCTGCAAATGAAGAGAGTAAAACCAAATTTCCTCCATTCTGTATTTAAAGTGCCATCCTAAGCCAAGTATACCCTTCTAAGCCAATTGACTTCACTGGATTTAGAAGGGTCTACCTCTGCTTGGAACATCACTGGAAGGCCACAAATGCTGTTTAGGCTGCCACACTGATTGTCTGTACAACGACTGTCTGTACATCTTTCCAGTCAAATGCTTCTTGTAGCAATTGATGAATGTGACAGGTTTAGAAATTTTAATTATAAAGCATATCTTAAAAACAGGAATTGTGAATTGCAGTGTATGATATGGCCGACTGGGGACTTGAATCTGGTCTCCCGGATCCTAGCTTCATGTTCTATCCAGTGTATCATGCTGACTCTCAAGTATTTGCCCAAGAAGTGTGAGGAAGAGTATGTTTAAAAAAGCAGAACAGAAGTGAATTACTTAAGCGCAAACCTTAAGTGACCACATGCTATTGCAGCTTATTGGCCAAAACAGCCTGCAAGTAGGGACCATATAAAGCCTACCAACATGTGTGGCCCAGGTCATATGACGATTTATTATTTGGGCTGGTACCCAGCTCCATCTGAAAATCCTCCCTGCAACTACAGCTGTTACCTTCTGACTTTTAGTTAAGCAGTCAGATTTCTCAAACTACAGGTGTTTGGGTTTTTTAACCAATGAACAAGGAGTTGTAATGTCATTACAGCACTACAGCATACAGATCTACACATGCTCACAAGCAAGTCAACCCTAGCAAAGCCTATCGTTCAATGTTCACCACACCCATAGTTCAGACTGTTACAGTGACAGGGAGCAGAAGGGGTCCCTAACCTTGCCGAGCTAGTGAGCACTATTGGATTTTGAGAACAAGTGCAGGATGCCACGATAAAATGGTTGCTGCCAAAGCTGAGCACACACACAGCAATGTTGGGAGGATCCTGCCA